ATGCATAATAGTTATTTTAACTTTTAGGTACGTGTAGTTATACAGTGTATCTGGTGAAAGGACGTCACTTGGCGACGTCTTTTACACGTGCATTTATAGTCCATCATGACCCTCTATGAAATCCTTGTTAAATATGCAAAAGCTGCGCTTAATCCTCGCATGGTTTATACCGCAATAATTAATGTAATTGCCGAAGTAGTTTTTAAGAGGTTGTGAAGACGTCCAATGGCGTCCTTTACACGTCTAGTCTGGCTGTGAATATACGTCCACTGGCGTCTTTTGCACGTCTAGTCTAGCCAGACAGAAAAAAATTATCAAGAATTATCTTTATGAAATACACGATTTGTATACAATGTAAATTATAATCACAAAATGCCCAGTGTAGTCAAGTGATTGCAAACCACTGCATTTTATTCATGTTGTGGATCAGTTGTAAGTTGACGTCCAGTAGGTGACGTCCTTTACACGTGGATTTATAGTCCGTCGTGACCCGCTATGAAATCCTTATGAATTATGAAAAAGCAATTATGCGTACACCTTGGCTGATATTGCAGTAAATAATTTAAATGCCCCAAGTAGTTTTTACGAGGTTCTGAAGTACAATTACGTTCTCAACCTTTACACTTAACTGTGCTACCGAGATTTGATAACAAATCCCGCGATATGATTGATTATCTCGCGATAAGCAACCACGCAGCCAATTTCCTGTTTTTTCTTTCTTTCTTCTTCTTCTTCAACCACGACGAGGCGAGAAGGATTTGATGATCGGGGGCAATTTGTTGTACAAAAAGTTGACGAACTACTACAAATCTGCTGTTTGGTAAGTAGTAGTACATTTTGTATTATTTTATAAATGTGATTTGAGTTTTGTAATTTGACTCAGGAACCGGAATAAATTATGCGTACACTTTCAACTGAAAGGTTTGAGTTTGGATAAAATTAACTTGGCAGAATTTCAGATTGCGACCATTTTTTCCGCCGGTGAGACCAGATTTTGTTATAAGTCGCGCTTACGCGACCGCAACGTTTCAAAAGTCAAACAAAATGAAAGCGGAACGAATCTGCGAATCGAAAGCGGAACGAATCTTGCGCTACTCCTGCACGGACCCTTTATTAGTTCGGACCATTAAGGATCTTTCATAATAGGTCCAAGTCAGGTTGTGTTTTGCATAAGTGTTAACATAATATCCCAAAACGGCTCTGTGATTGACTGTGTTTATATCTTACAGTACAATAAAATTAACTTTTTGTGCAGGTGAGGTAATGCACAATGAAAATAGGCACATATCTGGATGGAGACTATCTGATTCCTCAACCATGGCCTCAGCTTTAAATGTAAAGTATTGACTGTACATTTTTGCACATTTGATTATAAATACTGTCTGTATGCAAAGAATAAATCTTATGTTTTTGATAATATTTGGAATGTAATGTGAGTGTATTATTGTCACTTAGAAGACAGTTAATGTACTCTCTATAAGGTAGTTTTCCAGTTTTGCTCTGTTACAAGTCTCTAACCATACTCTAAAGATTACCAATTTTGTGATCACTTTTGTGAATTTTATTTTTCAATTTGTCTTTCAGGGTGACATAACGAACAGCCATCTGTCAGACGTAGAATTCAGGAATCCTTCTCCAGGCCATCTGGCAGAACCGAAAGAGGCATGGCATTTTTCTTGTTTTATGTCCTTCACAAAGTTTTGTTTGTTTGTTTTGTAATGGTGTTTATTGATTAAGGTGTCTTTACTTACTTAAAATATTTTTCACCCATTTGTTTTTAATGTCTATAGTCACCAGTTCCAAATTCTGCATTATCATCCCAGTCCCAGAGGACACCCCATTGTATGTGAGAACTTTGCTATTTGCAACTTTTTTTTTTACACAATTTACATTGAATACAAACATACTTTTTTCTAAATCATACAGTTACAAATATAGAGCCTATGTCATTGCTCAAGAAAAAGCTAAAGTACAGCCAGCTAATTTCATAGTATCTAAGTCATTATTACAGTGTTAAGTGAACATTTGAACAGCAGTCTTATTACACAATTTAAAATATGCGCAGACCAGATGTAGCCAACCCTGGTCCCCGAGAGCCACTACCCTGCTTGTTTTCCAACTATTCCTGCCCTTGCAGCTTCTGAAAACACACCTAATCCGTTAATAGTCAGCACTCAGCAGTAGGACAGGGATAGTTTGGAAATAGCAGGAGTGAGGCTCTCGAGGACCAGGGTTGGCTACCTTAGATTTAGTCATTATGAATGATCATTATATGGCTACAATAGTTTACTAGGTAGAATTGGATAACAATATGTCTAAATCCTTGCTACATCCACAAAGTAGGCCTAGTTAAAATAAAACAATATTGTTTACTGTTTTTTTTTTTTAATTTATTAAACTACTCTCTTATTTAAGTCTGTGTTATGTTTTCATGAACAGAATTTCCTAATGTTGTCTTGCCTCTTGACCGCTGCATTCGGGAGAGAACACAGAAGTGAGGGTATGTACGTTAATGTTTTTTTCCAGCCATGGGATTGTCCTATCCAAAACTGAATTTACATTTTACAAATATTTACATTTTGAAATAGGTGGTACCAGACCCTCAAGGAGCGCTTACCCCATGTCAGTTCAAAGTATTATATGTGGTGTGGAGTTCGCTGTCAACCTTTGTTAGAAGTACAAGTATTTAACCAAGTATCAAATGATTATTGATACCATTTTTATCACTTGCTGTCAATTCAGTCTCACCTAAATTGACCTTTATGTGGACTTTTTTTGTTTGTTTTGTTTTTTGAGGTGAAGTGTAATTTCTGTGTAATTTCTTTCAAAGAATCATGTCAAATGCCTTAATGGCGAGGGGTGGTGGCCAAATTGATAAGATGCTTTTCCAACGCAACACCTTTGCATTGTAAGTAATTCAAGGTAATTTTGCCCTTATGACATTAAAAAAAACATCTCTTGTTCCTTGTCTTAATATTAATGTAATTTTTATCTAAACAGGGGACATTCTTTAAAAGACCACCTGTCTGGATGTTTTATTTTAATTATTTCACTATTCAAACGCATTTAGTCCAGAACATCTTTTATTGGCATAAGATTATTATGCAGAAAAATAACATTGCTATTTTCAGACATTTTTAAAAACCATATGTAATTAACCTAAAAATGAGCCTTTTTTTAAACCGCATTCTCTTCCCTCAGATGCTGTGATTGTGATGAGGTGGAGCCCAAACGCCACAGATTAAGACGTTGATGCAGCAATGGCGAACACCTGAAGCACTGGATATAAAAATAGCCATAAACAAAACCAAAACCTTAAAGCCATAAACGAATTTCAAAGACTCTAAATAATTTTATTTATGTCTGTTTAACAGTAATGCAAGCTCTGACTTCTATTTGTCAATGGTGGAATATTTTTAGAACGACTTTTCTGTAATATTATAGAATGTGTTGACTGTTCCTGTACTTTTGTTATATTCTGGTTTGATTAATGGCTGCTTAACCTTAATGTGAAACTGTCACAACTGTCAGAAAATGTCATTGTACTATTTTTATTATTATTTTTTTTAGCAGTTTAACAACTGGAAGACATTTCAAATGTAATATTCTCAATAAAATGTTGTTGTAAATTATAACTCTTTTGCTTTAGTCCAGAAGTAATGTGTTGATGTAGACGTGTTTAAACGGTTTTATAGACGTCCAGGTCTGACCGGACCGATTTTTGGACCCGTTTTAGAAGTTCAGATTTGTAGAAATATCCTGATTGTTTGACTTTCACGAATTTATACAATATGGGTGTAATTATTTTATATGCAGGAATATATATACACACATACAATAGGTAGCAAGATCCCGCAGAACTAAAAAAAATAAGCCCACTTAGGCCGGATTCACATATAGCGCCTAAAAACGCGTAGAAAACGCTGGGCGCGCCGCATTCTCCATTTTCCAAAGCGCCAGGGCGGTTGCGCTTCAGTTGGTTCTTGTCACATGACCTATTGTGTGCGTATGGTGCGCTTGCGGTATTCTGAAAAGTTGAGATGTTTTTATCTCGACGCGGCGCGGACGCGCATGGAAAAAACGAGCGCGTCGCACCGCGACCGGATCGCTTCCATTATGAGCGCGCATACCGCGCGCCTACATTTGAAATAACGAACTTGAGCGCGCAAAAGACGCGATATGTGAACCGGCCCTTAGACGTCCGTGGACGCGCAGAAAAGACGTGCAGTTCACGGCCAGATGACGTCGAAGACGTCGGTTCAACTTCCATTTTGGAACTATTTTTCAACCATGACGGGACGTCTCGGATGGACGTCTTTTCAACGGTCAATAAACGTCAAAATGTTTGCTGGGCTATGTCCCTTTAATTATCATTTACCCGATTCTCTCAGCTGGACCTCGATTTCCCCCAAACTCCTGAAACCCGTCTCACCTTCCCGCAGGACACACCGGAGCAGTGCACGCGCCTCTCCAGCCGCTCGAGCACCGAGAGAAGCGCGTCTTCTGTGAGGAACTCTTCGCCTGGAGACACCAGATCCACAACGCGCGCGAAAATATCATATTTACCGCCACGCGCTCCTGTACACAGACTGAGGCAGGTCACACAGACAAACACAACACCGCTAGTCTCCATTCTCTGTGTGTTTTCCCGAAACTTATAGTGGTGCACGAGCACGACTGTCCTGAGTGTCCTCACACACACACACACACGAGCTTCAGAGATCTTCACACAGGTGCTCGTGTCCCTGCTCAGGTAAAACAAGCTCCGCTCTGAACGCTGATTGGTCAAGAGAAACTCTTCCCTTCACTTGCGCAAAAGGATTCATATGGGACTAATATTTTATATAAAATAATTACAATATGATTTATACATTATTATACATTTTAAACAGAATTTTATGGAGCTATAACCCTGTTTATATGACAACGGTCTCTCACACTGTTGGAAAGAACTGCTAATGAGAGCACTCTTGTTATAAGACACATTAACACACACTGACCTGTGATGGGTTTGTTGCAGGCGACTGTTACTGGTTACTGAAGCACTTCACACAGATCGGATCTTCACCCTGCGTTGTGAAAGGCTGTTCGGCCAGCTGGACTTTACAACCCGAACACAAGAAACATCATTTATGCCAGGACTCGTCTCTGTACATAAAGCCACCCTGAACCAGGATCTGTGAGAGACGACACCAGCAGAAACACTGGCATTCACTGCATACAACTTACAGAGGTTGACAATGACATAAAAGCTTTTACTGACGTGCCAGACTTTCTCCACTGATGATTGTCTAAGTTGAGCAGTATTTGTCCAGGAAACTATTGCCAAACAATCCAGCTTTTCTAGGTCTACTGAAATCTCTTCTTCATGACCTGATAGAAACATCAGTCCCAATACAAACACACACACACATGAACCAAACACACCGAATACAGGTACAAATGTAAATGTGAATACAGGAGGAGCTCTGACGTCACTAGTGCATAGATAGATTCAGAGAAAGTGAAACACTTGATCAACAGTAAAATGGACGCCAGAATCGATCAACCTCTTTAAACAACAGAATATTTACTGTTCAAAGAGTGTTGTGGACACATCTGATACTCACAGGTAAGAGATAGAAATATAAGAGAGATTGTGCTGAACAGGTTGAATGGAAGTGATCTGGTTTATAGGTTTATGTCAAACAAAAGTTGAACAGAATCAGGGTCCGTTTGCATAAGACTAGTCTTACAAGTGAATCAAATGTTTTTCTGAAGTCCATAACTTTTCAGTTAAAGTCAGTTACATGAAAACGCAGGTTGGTTTATTTTAATACCGAAAGTAAGACCGATAACCCCTAAATAACTGCGATTTCTTAAGACTTAACATAATATTTAATTATGCAATAACTGACTCTATGGTTTAATCATGTCAAATACTCTCTCAACTCCTGTAGTTGTTTACTGCACTGAAATGGTCAGAATTGTCTTTAAATATGTCATGTGATTAGTTGTGAAGTAAAGTTTGGGTTTTCTTTATTTTTGTCACGCGACATAAAGACTAAAGAAACAGGAAGCATATGTGACCCTTGACCCCACAGAAAACCTGCTGAACCTTACACAGTTTTGTGCACAAATGTGTCAAACACCTTAAGGCTGAATCCAGACACACTTGACAAGATGAAATAATACTTACATCAATTTATTTTGTGGGAAGACATTTTGTCAGAAAATATTTTTAAAAGAAGTTTATATTAACATTAAACATAGTAAATTAGCAAATGTTCAGTTATTTTATGAATACACTCACTGTTTTGAAAGGAACTTTTCTTCTACAATAAAGTTTACTGCGCTGAAATGGTTTCAGAATTGTATTAAAACTATTTAATTGGAAATACACTGCATCTGAAAATCACATTTACTTAAATCAAAATTAAATTCTCTTGGCCATAAAAAATATATGTTCATTTCGGGGGAAAGGTTATCTTTACTTGCCCTTTAATACAAACATTACTTCCTATTTAAGATTATTCTGTTGTTTTCTTTTGCCTTGAAAAGTCATAAAGAGGTGAAGAACAATGGCAGAATCTTTCCCATCATCAACTAAAAAACGAGAAAGGAGAGGGAGTATGGTTGAGCCTCCATGTGAGTCAATAACCCACTTTAATATATCTTATATTTTATCTTGAAAATAGACACTCATTGTTTAGAATTAATCTCTGCACATTCTCTCAACAAGATGACAAGACGACTTTACACTTACCAGTGATTTACCTTCATCATTTCTCTCTCCAGACATGTCTTCCTCCAGCGGTCCACTGACTGAGGATCTTCAGTGCTCGATATGTCTGGACGTGTTCACTGATCCAGTCAGCACTCCATGTGGACACAACTTCTGCAAGACCTGTCTGAATAAGTGCTGGGACAACAGCCAGACCTGCAACTGTCCATATTGTAAAGAAACATTCAAGCACAGACCTGATCTCAAGATCAACACCACACTCCGAGAGATCGCAGATCACTATAAAAAGAAAAAAGCTGAAGTTGTGTGTGACGTCTGTGAGGACAGAAAGCAGAAAGCCCTGAAGTCGTGTCTGGTGTGTCAGAGCTCTTACTGTGAAACTCACCTGGAGCCTCATCTGAGAGTGGCAGGTTTAAAGAAACACAAACTGATCAATCCTGTGAGTAATCTGGAGGACTATATATGTCAGAAACACGAGAGACCTCTAGAGCTGTTCTGTAGAGATGATCAGACGTGTGTGTGTCTGATATGTGACTTGACAGACCACAAGAACCACAACACTGTTCCTATAGAAGAGGAGAGTGAAGAGAAGAAGGTAGAAGTTCCTGACAAACTGATTTTAAATGGCTCTTATCATGAGGAATCACATGTTCTTTAATATATAAATGAATCAATTATGAAAACATATTGTGTGTTCTCTGTCTATAGACTCAACTGATGAAGACACAGAAAGACACACAGCAGGAGATCCAGGACAGAATCAAGAAGATTCAAGACGTCAAACACTCAGCAGAAGTCAGAAAAGTGAGTTTAAAATTGACTACAAAACGAAGGTTCAGGAGGAGCCTAAACATCCAGTGCTGTCAATCATCATCATGAGCAGATTATATAAGCAGCAGACACGACATCTCATTGACAAATTCAATCCTCCTCCCATAATTCAGTGCAAACGCCGCAGAATGAGGGATTTTGAAAACACTGAAGTATGAGAAATAATAACAGTGATCAAACTCCACTAATAATGTGTTGTTGATCAGAGAAACACAGAGAAGGAGAAAGCAGCCCGTGTGGAGCTCTTCACTGATCTCATCCGCTCCATTGAGAGATGTCAGACTGAACTGCTGGAGATGATGGAGGAGCAGCAGAAAGCAGCAGAGAAACAGGAGGAAGAGCTCATTGAAGAGCTGGAGCAGGAGATCACTGAGCTAAAGATGAGAAACACTGAGCTGGAGCAGCTCTCACACACTGAAGATCACCTCCACCTCCTACAGGTCAGTCAACATCTCTCTGATCAATGATAATGACACCAGAACACTCCCCATGCTGAAGGATTTCTCCTCTCTCTCTCCTGCTGTAGATTTACTCGTCCCTGTGCAGCTCCACAAACACCAGGAACTGGTCTGAGATCAGTGTGAAGACTGATGAGAGTGAGGAGACTCTGAGGACAGCTCTGACTAAACTGCAGGACTCTCTACAGGAGAAACTCACACTCACTGGTACAGCAATATCAAACACACCGTACAGATGCATATATTTATCATCTTTATATATCAGTAATGAAGAATGAGTCTCAAGGTGAAATAAGAGAAGTGTGTGATCATTTACTGATCTCAGAAAACATGCAGTAAATTCATCTTGTACTCGAAGCTTCATCACTGAAACCAGAACCTCAAGGCTTTAGTGCGTCTGTGAACACTTTTAGATGAGAAACAACAGAAAGAAACATTCATTTTCTGTTGGTCTTTTCAGCTGTTTCTCTAAATGTTTTGATCATGTTTCGATAAAATCAGTTTAGCAGAAGAAAATCTAATCGATCCAACAGATTTGCAGAGCTGGGATTTTCATTTTCTTAAAGATTTATTTTTTACTGTAGTCAACTTGTCTTTGCTGAATAACGACAACATTAATCAATTCCAAAACTGAGATGAATAACATTAGGCATAAAAATATCTGAAATATAAATGTCATAAAATGTTTCACAAAACACCTCCTAAAAAGAGGAATATTTGGAGCTCAAACACAACAGGAGTTCAGAGATTCTCTAAATATCAGCAGAGAGACATTGATCAGATTAAACATGATCTTACACAATTCTTTAAATATATTGTTAAATCTTTTAGTTTTATAATTGCACTCATAAACATGTGAAAGATCTGCTGATGTTTTATTGTCATGTGTCTCTACAGAAGTGAAGAGGAGACAGCAGTATGCAGGTACAGTGTGTGTCTGACCTACACTAGATTACATTCAGATACTCACAGCTTCATCACTGACCGACAGTATGATCACACACTCATTACATATTACACACATCAGCACTAAAGTCTGTGATTCATATTGTCTGTTTTCTCAGTGGATGTGACTCTGGATCCTGATACAGCTCATCCTAATCTCATCCTGTCTGATGATGGAAAACAAGTGAGATGTGGAAACATTGAGCAGAAACTCCCAGACAAACCACAGAGATTTGATAGATGTGTAAATGTCCTGGGAAAGGAGGGATTCTCCTCAGGGAGATTTTATTTTGAGGTGCAGGTGAAGGGAAAGACTGAATGGGATTTAGGAGTGGCCAGAGAATCCATTAACAGGAAGGGAGTGATCACACTGAGTCCCAGTAATGGATGCTGGACTGTGGCTCTGTGGAATGGGAATCAATATTGGGCCTGTGCTGATTCTCCTGTGTCTCTGTGTGTGAGAGTGAAGCCGCAGCGGGTCGGTGTGTTTGTGGATTATGAGGAGGGTCTGGTCTCCTTTTATGATGTGGAGTCCAGCTCTCATCTCTACTCTTTCACTCATCAGTCTTTCACTGGGAAACTCTATCCATATTTTAGCCCGTGCAATAATGATAAAAACTCAACTCCACTGATCATCACACCTGTCAAACACAATCAATGAAATTACACGCCTAATTTTGAAATACTCAATGAATATTATGTATATAATTGAAAATATTGTTTTGCTATTTTTTCATCATTTATTTAATCTATTATTGTTAAAATCTTAAATTTGTAGCTTTAATTGTAAATGATAATGTAAAATTATAATGCTTGTTTAACAAATTTATTTTCATCTTTTCATAATTATTCATGCCATTGTTTTCTCCCATCTCAACCTGACAAAGTAAAAGTACTTAAAAATAAACCAAACTATGATAACATGATAAATTGTCAAAGCTGTTTCTACCATTTCAATTACAAAATGATCTGTGATAATACTGTTAAACCAGATGGTAATACCTCAATATATGTATAATTGTATGATTACCATATTCATACACAACATTATGGATCTTCAAAGTATATCTAAAAAAATATTATAATTATAAATTATAGATTATAAATATATATTATAAAAAAAAAAATCTAAAAAGAAGAAAACATTGTAGTCCCATTACCAAGGGGGATTAAGTTTCCGGTTGTGGAGATTAAAGCGGAGGAAAACCGAGGAAAACGGGATTATGGCAGAGTCTTCAAAATTTACTGTCCTTCCGTCTTTGAAACGAAACATTCATACATTTAGATGTAATTTTATATATAGTTATGTTTATTTAATATCATTTTAAAAAGAAGCATAAACACAACGAGGGGTGTCTGTTTTATCTGTTTTTGTGACTAATTTCTTTAGTATAACCGTGGAGAATAAAATTCAATATAAATTCTCGGTATTGCATTGGACTCTACGATCGGCGGAAGTTATCGAGCATCCTTAGACCTACAAATAAAGAAAACCTCACCTGTAAAAACACACTGATAAAGGAGAAGTTTCAGGTTTAAAGTGGTTTATTGGTATTTAAATAATTGTATATTTGCAAACAAGTTGCAGCTTCAAGACAAACAAAGAAAATAGTTCAAACAAATATGAAAAACAAACACTAAACAGACAGTGTATGACAATATAAAAGACAAAAACACTTGATACTTTAACATTTAACAGTGAGGTCTTCTGAAAGCAAACGAAATGAACGCATTCAATATATTTTACACAAAAAATGTAGCCTAAGGTCCAGTGTTTCTGAAGCTATTGTACATATAATATGTAATATGTCTGTAAAGATCAAATAAAAGTTAAGTTTTTGCTACTTAAATACTGTAAGGAATTCTCCAGAATATTAATAACCGATTTTCATTCAAATAATTGACGTTAATACCTCAAACACACATCTATAGCAACAGTACATGAACGGATACAGGGCGTTCGGTACGGTGCAGGCAATGACACAAATTATCTCATATCTGGGTTAGCTTATTCAATGAAATTTTCAACAGAAATGAATCAGTCAACAATAATTCATTAACCTCCCTAATCTTACAGATACAGCATTGGTGATTCAATTGACCAATGAATTTTCCTCATTAAAGATGTTGCATGTTAAAGTGCCCCTATAGGCTTTTTGGGGATATTACCTTTCATGTAGCGCGTAATAATAGAGCTGTTTGTGAATGTAAAATATCTGAAGTTTTAAAGATCAAAGTTCACGACAAATAAACGTATCGAAAGAATCGATTCTGAACTGCTGAAACGAGTCATCAGTAATTCCAGTCTCACTTCCTGTCACATGCAACAGTGTAACACATTTGCATAATGCCAGGCTGACGGCGACACTGGGGCATCTGACCAATCAGAGCAGAGTAGCTCGCAGAAAGGAGGGGTTTAGAGAAACCGAATCTTCAAATGAACCGTTTTCAGTCTCTTCGAGAAAAGAGGTGATGTGCAATCTATATTATCTCAATCTATATTATAATCTATATTATTAATCTATAATATATTCAATCTATATTATGAGGAAATTAAACCTTTGATGCATTTATTTTTTGATGGCTGTAAACCTTTTGTTACTAAATTAGGAACCTTTAAAATAGCATTCATCCATAATATTATTTATCAGTCCGAGTGAATCACATGTATTATTATTCAGTGTGAAGAAGGATATAGTAATTTATGTAATGCCGAGTTCAGACTGCACGATTTTAGGCACAATTTTGGCTCGCCGACAGGTTTTGAGAAATCGCCGACAAATGACCGAAATCACGGGCAAATCGGCGCTTGTTCATGCGAGTGACAATCACCAGTGTGAATGAGCAAAGACGCGATCTGAGAGAATCACCGACGAGTCACCGACGCCCGTGAGATATTTGGCATGCTAAATATCTGGATCTGTCGGCGATTCAAGATCCTGCTGTGTGAAAAGTGTTTTGACTGAAAACTACATCGGCGATTACCGACAGCCAATGAGAGAGCAAGATACAGAGCAGCGGGAGTTCGGGGAGGAGTTATGGATCACATATCAACATTGCATTGTTTCAGAAAAATGGCTATTTGGACACAAGAAATAGAAGAAAATTTGTATAAATTTGGCAGGAGCACTCGTGTCTGTTTGACGTTTCATCTGAGCTGTACCACAACACAACCGGGTCGAAAAAGAAAAAAGTGAGAACTCCGGTCTTGCACGTGTGGTGTCGCGTTGTTTCCTCGTCACATCTCGCGTGTGTTTGTTGTGAAACGTAGTTTGCGCACAGCGTGCTAGACAGAGTTGTCGGCGATTCTTCCTATTTTTAATCAAACAGATCTCATTCCCCATGGACTATCTTTTCCTACTATGGTAGTCAATGGGGAATGAGATCTGTTTGATTAAAACATTCTTCCAAATATCTTCCTTTGAGTTCAGCAGAACAAATAAACACATAGAGGTTCGGAACAACATGAGGGTGAGTAAATACTGACAGAATTTTCATTTTTGGGTGAACTAACCCTTTAAGATGAATTACTGAAATGAACGATATTCTTAATTTTTCGAGTTTCACCAGTAGATAGCTCAAAGTGACGATTAAAACAGTGTTTCCCAACTCAACATTTGCCGCAGGGATCAAACAGGACCAACATGGCGTAGCCCTCAAACCGTATTCACTTTATAGCCCTTAATCCTGTAATTGTGGACAAATGTGGGCTCAGAGGACTCGGGTGGGATCCTAATTTGTATTTATTACAAATGTTATATCACTGTCTTCGATTAAAATTTTGTCTATCCATTTATGGTGTTTTTTTATTTTTTATTTTGGGGGTATTTTTGAATTTATTTACTACAAAAGTACCATATTTTCAATGTAATTTATTTCTATGTAAATGAATTATTATGTAGTTTTATTTTTTAAATTTTTTTAACTACATTAAAATATCATTCCAATAAGTTCTTAGAGCTAAAACCTAAAGATGAAGTGACTTTGCCGTCACCTGGTGTCTTATTTTGGCTTATGCTCTAAATTACAGTTTTTCCCATTCATTTCTATGGGTGCCCATTTTTGACCCAAATACAAGATTAAGGAGGTTTTTTTTCACCCACTTAACATTGTAGAATTGAGTCAAACAAAAATTGTGTGTTCAGGAGGCAAACTTAGGAAAAGTAGCCAAGTCTTGTACCGCTCAGATCAAGGGAAGTATTTTTTAAAAATAAATCAAAACTATTTTGCCCACATTTGTCCAGAATACGGTTATAGGGTTAAAGTGCACAGAACAGAACAGATCAGGTTTGTTTGTAACTAGTTTTGTACTTAATTTGCTGGACCATTAAAGTGGTTTTCCTGCTGTACCTGGAGCAACACTATCGTTTTCACTGTTGAACTTTGGCAAGGATCGCTTTTGTGCTGAAGAGCCGCTTACAAGTCAGTTATTCACATGTTCTTTCTTGTTCTTTCTTAAAATGTAAATGCATGCAAACAGAAATATCATACATGGTCCTGGTCGGAGGCCTTTCTAAATATTTCAATGGCACTGGTACAACTGGCTCCATATAAAACAACAAAAAAACTAATATATTGACCACTAAAGCGAACAAATTATTTGGTCTGATCAGAGCGGTGAAATGAAATTCTAATTTTGAAACCCTGAGATGTGTTTTCATGAAAGAACCTCATAAATGTAGGAAGATCCTCTTCTGGCTTCACTGACGTACATGAACACACATTCTTCGGCCTGCAGGAAAACAAACCTGCATTAATACCTTCTCGGACTTAAAGTCCACTATCAAATCTTGATGAACATCACTAAAAGGTGAGCCTGAAAAAACTGAGTTTGCCCAAACTTACCCGAGTAGCCACTGAAACCGGTTTGGTTCAACAGGCTTCCGTAGTTCTGGTGACCCTGAGATGACGTTCTCTCTTCTGCTAGAGCCATTAAAGTTCATCTGGCCTAGAGATTATAAAATACAAGACTTTAGCAAACTTTAGCATTAATCTGAGCTCATGCCGACTTTGTAATTGTTCACTGTTTTATGTTTCACAATTCATAAGCTTTTATGCCACTGAATTTTAACGCAGTTTATCTGCATTACAAATGTATCTTCAAAAGATTATAAAATGAAAATGTATTATTTTGAAGAGTGTGTTTTTCTTTAGTCCACACAATGAAAGTCAATGGGGTCCAATGTTATTTTGCACTCCACTGACTTCATTGCAGGGACAAAAGTATAATTCAGTTTTGTAGAAAAAAAAAGAAAGTTTTGAAACAACGTGAGGATGACTGTAATTTTTAGGTGAAAAAACAGTAGTTTCAAACTTACCATTTAACTCTTTGTGTGCCGTTCCTGTGCAGAAACACCATAGAAACACATTAAAAACGATCAGAGCAAAGACAGCTGCAGTTACTGCCAAATCATGCCTTCGAGATTCTTCACTGCTATTAGTGTGTTTTTCACCTGTAAGAAAACACCAACAACAGTCTTTTTACAGTTTTTATGCATTCATAACAACATGAAATCTATAAATTTAATTTGAGAAAATCTGACTGAGCTACAATCACAAATACAGGTGAATATGTCATAATTATAAATCTGCAAGTTAACTTCTGACAGGATTTAGTTTCATATTTACCCCATTTTATTATAAGTGTCTGTGTCTGACTGCTGTGAGAGACGTGACACTCGTAACTCTCTTCTTCGTCTCTGTGAATCTCCACACTGATTCTCATCTGAAAGCTCTCGTCATCATTCGGTCTGACTCCTGTAGAGCTGAAGGCTTCGAGGTTTCTGCCGTTCAGTGTGATCTTCATCTCGATGTGTTTGGGGTAGAAGCCGGTGGCCAGACAGCTCAGATTCAGCTTGCTTCGGTCATGAGGAGCTTCAGACGCAAACATGTGAACATCTAGAGCATCTGCAATAACAAACACCAGGAAGAAAATCAAACTGCAACAATATTCCATATTAATTCTACACACTAGAAAAAAATTCAACACAAACCATTATGACTCATGCACTTTTTTTTGAGAAAGTTATATTTTTAATTCACTAATTCCATTTGCTGTGTAATCAAGAGACATTTTGAAAATGATAAAGAAAAAGTCATGAGAACAACACATACTGCTTATGGAGTCATTAAACGTGGAGATCCAGTCCTTGCACGTCTCGAGGAATGACTGGAGATACAGATTATGTCGTTTGTCAGCGTCCCAATTCATTTTGGTTTCTATTGCCTTTGGATGTTTCTCCGTCCACTGCCTCGTGTCAGAATTAAAGGCAATAAAATCCTCTCCATCATATCTGTACTCATCAAACGCTTTTACATTCATCCCTGCATCCACCTCGCAGCCGATTCTCCTCTGTAGTGTATGGAGGTCTAAACATATATGATAACATTGGTGATAAACAAATTCAATATTTATTTTAATAGAAAAAAATAAATTCAGACTCACTGTCACATTTGGATCTTGTGCAGTTTGACAGAGTATAAACCAGATGCATAAACCAGTCTTTAGATTCATCTGGTTCTTCAGTGTCTGTCCAGATCTCTGAGTTCGGACGGTCTCTTTTCCAGGTTTGCTCTTCATTCCTGTAGCGAGAGATGCGTCTGTCATCATACAGACCCACTGCACTGAACTGAGGACCGGAGAATCCAGCAGGTTTGGAGAGAGCGCTGTAAACGTACTGGAGAACATGTCTCTCTGAAGGAAAATAAATGCAAGAATACTGTGGAAAGTGATCAAAGTGCAGTCTTTAACACACCACGGACCCCCAAATCTGATTATCCACAAACCCCCATCCCAAAATATACAATCCAGCTATATCACTCCATGTAGAAAAACCCCCCAATTATTATTAAATATTTAGTTTCATAAAAATGCTGTTGCATTTTCCATGGTTTGTGCAGTTTTGTATTAAGAAATGTGGAAGTTTGTACGGCTGAACTGCTTCTGATCACAGGTTACTTATTCAGAACCATCTTGTGTATTTTTCATTAATAACATTAGACAGGTTGACTACTTGGGCTTTTCGGGAGTGTATTCTATTCACTTGAAGAAGAAAAAATCTACTCCGTTTTTCTGAATTAACGAGTTAATTATCTCAGAATTACGAGATAATTTGTCATGGAAAAAAGTTTTTGCTCTGTTTTTCTAATAATAATTAATTTGTTAATTCAGAAAAACAGAGTAGATTTTGTTTCCTCGAGGGAATGAAATACACTTCCGTAGTTATCAGACTGGAGCCCAGCCGGGAGATCTGTATAAAAGCAATGAGAAAAACTGGAAAAAATAAATAATCATAAAAATAAGATCGAACTAACCAAAAATAAATAAATATGCCTACATTTGATTAAAATAAAAAAAGATTAAAAATTAATTTAAACAAATAGCAGATTTGATTAAAATAAACAAAATACACTTTGATTTAAATAACTAATAAATACATTTGATTAAAATAGATAAATACATATAAAAATATATAGATTAAAATTGGCCTACATAAATGTGATTTAAGTAGCCTACATATAATATATAGATTTCAATCAATCTTACAGTACACTACAGTATAGGCCAGCGAGTAGGGAAAAACACACACTGATCTACAATAGAAACTTTAGATTCATAGTTTTGTCAATGAATTGTGGGTGCCCGCTTCCTCAAGCTGAAGTGTCCCACGCAAAGGTCGCGGGAACATGACGCATCGACATTCAAACGCCATCGAGTTTTTCGAATTCCCGCGTCGCCCATATAATGTCGCCGCATATTTGTCCCGGGACAGACGATCCACTAATACACCGAGAAGCCCATGCGGGTTCCCCCCGTTACTATCGCATTCCGCAGGAGGGGAACCAGCAGCAACTGAGCCAAAACAACCGGAAATACACGTAGCTGTAAATAACCATGTGCGTAGTATAGCGCCGTTTTTGCATATAGCGTTCTATATGACGTTAAAGGATGAGAATGCGTTGAAATAACCACCCAATTCATTGAAATAAACTTTGTTCTACTGTCTGTGGAAATAACGGGAGAAGCACACACGCGCGCGCGTTCTTCAAAGTGTGGGCGGCAACAGTGACCCCGGTAGAATCTTTGCAATGTTACTTTGAAGGCAGGATGAATCTAATAACACATCTGATCTCATTTTAGTTCTGTGCTGATAATGTGCATGTTTAATGCATGATGACATCAGCTTTTACCGCTCGTGCTAGAGTTTCAGACAATGATGAGGAGACAGATTATAGCCTAATAATAATTATATACATTATAGATTATATATATTATATATTATAGTATAACTGCAGACAAGAGAGAAGGAAAGCTACAAATGCACAAAACCTAACTAATATGCAAAAATATATATGATACTAAATAATACATTTCTAAATAAAAAATAAATACTCGCTGAACTTTTGATTAGGCTGAAATATTCTCTCTCATCTCCTTCAATCAAAAATAACTCTCCCTGTCGTTGCTTCACTTTAAAACTTTAATACAAATTCAACCGCCATTATTGGCTACACCTGCGCCATTCTTTAATATATATAAAAAAACTATATTAAAATAGATATTAAATTTGCTTACCGCACTGGACATTGGCTACGTGCAAATAAATGTAACAGAGAAAAAGTCGTATTGATTCCATTTTGTTTCCCCAGGAAAAGTAAACCCATCAGCATCATGAGCCATAAAGCACCTGTGCACGCGCCCGTCGCGATCTCACACACAGCGATGACAGAATCATCAGTGAGATCCTTTCGTTTGAAACGCAGAGCCATAATCTCATTCTTCTTCTGGGGTTTTGGCAGTTTAATAAAGCATTACCGCCACTAACTGGACTGGAGTGTCCAGAGGACTGGACTGTGGATATATCAGCATCAGTTCGATCAGTTCTCTCACACACACACACACACACACACACACACACACACACACACACACACACACACACACACACACACACACACACACACACACACACACACACACACACACACACACACACACACACACACACACACACACACACACACACACACACACACACACACACACACACACACACACACACACACACACACACAGGTGCTCGTGTCCGTGCTCAGGTAGAGGCTCCTGTTGCCCACACTGAACGCAGATTGGTCAAGGCGCTGAAGGATTCAGACAAGACTAATATTTGATCTTGGTTTGATTATATCATGAAATTTTATGGAATGAGGTTTTTTTTAAAAGTGGCAGAGCGATTTAAAGTGTTAATTGCTATATGCTCTTTTACCCCTTAGTCATTAATAAAGGACCCAGAAGCATTATTCTCAAAAATAAATAAAGCTGATTTATGCAAACAAGAGAGAGAGCAATTAATGACAGAATACACCAAATAATTTAAGACAGCGTGTAATGTTACATAAATCAACAGACTGTAAATATATTGCTTTGAATCTCTGTGTTTTTTTAACATTAAGTCCAATGGTGATCATAAACGGCAGCAGACGCTTCTCTGAGGGACAGGAGAAAGAGCTCACGACGGGTCACATCACTGCGGTTTTATTATGTTTGAAAGTCTCTTCTGCTCACCAAGACTGCATTTATTTGATCAAAAATACGGTAAAAATAGTAAAATTCTGAAATATTATTACAATTTAAAATGCCTGTTTTCTATGTGAATTGTAAACCGAATTTATTACTGTGATCAAAGCTGTATTTTTCAGCATCATTACTACAGTCTTCCCTTCAGAAATCACTCTAATATAAACATTTATGATTATTATCAGTGTTGAAAACAGTTTTGCTGTTTCATATTTTTTAGGATTTATTTAAATTTGATATCTTTTGTAACATAAATGTCTTCACTGTTACTGTTATCACGTAATGATCCTTAAATAGGCCTTATTTTCTTTATTTTTTTTTTAGGTAGCCTAACACTTTAGTTTAGTTATTAACTAGTGTCTTATTAGTATGCATATTAGGATATTGGCTGTTTAGTACTTAAAAAGCACATATTAATGCCTTGATCATATTCTACATCCCTTAATTCACCCAATACCAAAACTTAACAACTTCTAACTATTAATAAGCATTTTGGAGTTTGAGGCAAAAGTCGGTGTTAATAGTGAGAATTGGACCCTAATCTAAAATATGAGCCAAATTAATTTTCATTTTAGGGTCAAATATGACCTGTTCTTGGCATATTGCATGAGATACTTCCTTGTCTCTTGTTCAAAATAGATCTATAACACAGATTATATAAATCATTATGTCATGAATAGGCTACAGTGTCAATGTTCTTTCTTTAGAAGATATCTAGTCTATATCTAGTTAAAAAGATATCTAGTCTGGAAACTGTAAAAAAATATAGAAAAGGGATAGCCTATGTAAAAAAAGTAACGTTAAAGTTATTTTTAACGTTTTAAATTATTAATATTCGAAAAACTTACATTAAAAAAGCACCAGAGAAATATCAAAATTAGTGTATTTTTTATAGCAAATATTAATGTAAGAATACTGTAGCCTATATAACTATAGCTTAGATCATAGAAAACACAGTATTTGTATCATAATATTATTTATGTTTAGTGTACTATGTCCCTTTAATTATCATTTACCCGATTGTCTCAGCTGGACCTCGACTTCCCCCAAACTCCTGAAACCCGTCTCACCTTCCCGCAGGACACACCGGAGCAGTGCACGCGCCTCTCCAGCCGCTCGAGCACCGAGAGAAGCGCGTCTTCTGTGAGGAACTCTTCGCCTGGAGACACCAGATCCACAACGCGCGCGAAAATATCATATTTACCGCCACGCGCTCCTGTACACAGACTGAGGCAGGTCACACAGACAAACACAACACCGCTAGTCTCCATTTCCCGAAACCTATAGTCGTACACGACTGTCCTGAGTGTCCTCACAGACAAACACACACGAGCTTCAGAGATCTTCACACAGGTGCTCGTGTCCCTGCTCAGGTAAAAGCTCCGCTCTGAACGCTGATTGGTCAAGAGAAACTCTTCCCTTCACTTGCGCAAAAGGATTCATATGGAACTAATATTTGATATAAAATAATAACAATATGATGATACAATAAATTAAATGTATTATCATTATAATACATTTTTAAACAGAATTTTATGGAGCTAGCTAAGGGCGTTTTAAGAAAAGCGATTTTAACCAATTTAGCCCATAGCAAATATTTGCTGCAGTTGTAGGCTACTAAACACTTTTTTCTCAAGCAATTTTCCTCTATGAAAAGTAAAAAAGTTAAATGTATATTGGCCTCAACCTTATTTATTTTTCCATCAGAAATTACCCTCCTTATACATTAAACGTTGTTTATAAATTTTTAATGGAATATCACCGGGCCTATGTTAACTTTCCCATTAAGAGTCAATATTTGACCCCTTAAATCAATTTCCAGGGGCATTTTTTCTATGTTCAAACCATTTTTACACTGCAATTACAACACCATAAATACTGTTGTGAGATTACTGATTAGCCTATAATAATTAAAAAAACTATATATTTTCAAATATTATATTAAAACCGCCAATAGGGGACGCCAAATCATCGTCTTAATGTACGAGTCATAGAAGCATCAACTGATTCGTTCAAAACGAGTCCGCAAAGTTTTGATAATGTTTAGAAATGTGATAAAATATGATACAGTGTGCTTTATGGTTAAAACAGCAACAAAACAGTAAGATATTTGATATTGATATTTGAGTTAGATATTATATTGTCATAGTGCATGAGCCGGTGGATGAGAGACTCTTGAGTCCCGATGCTCAAGCAGAACTTCATTCAAACACACTCAACATCCTCAAACACACACATGACCCTGTTTATATGACAACGGTCTCTCACACTGTTGGAAAGAACTGCTAATGAGGAGCGTTCTTGTTATAAGGACACATTAACACACACTGACCTGTGATGGGTTTGTTAGGCGACTGTTACTGGTTACTGAAGCACTTCACACAGATCGGATCTTCACCCTGCGTTGTGAAAGAGTGTCCGGCCAGCTGGACTTTACAACCCGAACACAAGAAACATAATTTATGCCAGGACTCGTCTCTGTACATAACGCCACCCTGAACCAGGATCTGTAAGAGACGACACCAGCAGAAACACTGGCATTCACTGCATAACTTACAGAGGTTGACAATGAAGTAAAAGCTTTTACTGACGTGCCAGACTTTCTCCACTGATGACTGTCTAAGTTGAGCAGCATTTGTCCTGGAAACTCTTGCCAAGCAATCCAGCTTTTCTAGGTCTACTGAAATCTCTTCTTCATGACCTGATAGAAACATCAGTCCCAATACAAACAAACACACACACACACACACACACACACACACACACACACACACACACACACACACACACACGAACCAAACACACCGAATACAGGGACAAATGTAAATGTGAATACAGGAGGAGCTCTGACGTCACTAGTGCATAGAGAGATTCAGAGAAAGTGAAACTAACTTGATCAACAGTAAAATGGACGCCTGAATCGATCAACCTCTTTAAACAACAGAATATTTACTGTTCAAAGAGTGTTGTGGACACATCTGATACTCACAGGTAAGAGATAGAAATATAAGAGAGATTGTGCTGAACAGGTTGAATGGAAGTGATCTGGTTTATAGGTTTATGTCAAACAAAAGTTGAACAGAATCAGAGTCCGTTTGCATAAGACTAGTCTTACAAATGAATCAAATGTTTTTCTAAAGTCCATAACTTTTCAGTTAAAGTAGTTACATGAAAACGCAGGTTGGTCTAATAATTTAATACCGAACAGTAAGACCGATAACCCCTAAATAACTGCGATTTCTGAAGACTTCACATAATAGTTGATTATGCAATAACTGACCCGAGGGTTTAATCATGTCAAATACTCACTCAACTCCTGTAGTTGTTTCAGAATTGTCTTTAAATATGGCATGTGATTAGTTGTGAAGTAAAGTTTGGGTTTTCTTTATTTTTGTCACGCGACAGAAAGACTAAAGAAACAGGAAGCATATATGACCCTTGACCCCACAGAAAAACCTGCTGAACCTTACACAGTTTTGTGCACAAATGTGTCAAACACCTTAAGGCTGAATCCAGACACACTTGACAAGATGAAATAATACTTACATCAGTTTATTTTGTGGGAAGACATTTTGTCAGAAAATATTTTTAAAAGAAGTTTATATTAACATTAAACATAGTAAATTAGCAAATGTTCAGTTATTTTATGATTACACTCACTGTTTTGAAAGGAACTTTTCTTCTATAATAAAGTTTACTGCACTGAAATGGTTTCAGAATTGTATTAAAACTATTTAATTTGAAATATACAGCAGCTGAAAATCACATTTACTTAAATCAAAATTAAATTCTCTTGGCCATAAAAAATATATGTTCATTTCAGGGGAAAGGTTATCTGTACTTGCCCTTTAATGCAAACATTACTTCCTATTTAAGATTATTCTGTTGTTTTCTTTTGCCTTGAAAAGTCATAAAGAGGTGAAGAACAATGGCAAAATCTTTCCCATCATCAACTAAAATACGAGAAAGGAGAGGGAGTATGGTTGAGCCTCCAAGTGAGTCAATAATCCACTTAAATATCTCTTATATTTTATCTTGAAAATAGACACTCATTGTTTAGAATTAATCTCTGCACATTTTCTCAACAAGATGACAAGACGACTTTACACTTACCAGTGATTTACCTTCATCATTTCTCTCTCCAGTGATGTCTTCCTCCAGCGGTCCACTGACTGAGGATCTTCAGTGCTCGATATGTCTGGACGTGTTCACTGATCCAGTCACCACTCCATGTGGACACAACTTCTGCAAGACCTGTCTGAATAAGTGCTGGGACAACAGCCAGACCTGCAACTGTCCATATTGTAAAGAAACATTCAAGCACAGACCTGATCTCAAGATTAACACCACACTCCGAGAGATCGCAGATCACTATAGAAAGAAAAGTCCTGAGAAAAAAGTTGAAGTTGTGAAAAAAGCTGAAGTTGTGTGTGACGTCTGTGAGGAAAGAAAGCAGAAAGCCCTGAAGTCGTGTCTGGTGTGTCAGAGCTCTTACTGTGAAACTCACCTGGAGCCTCATCTGAGAGTGGCAGGTTTAAAGAAACACAAACTGATCAATCCTGTGAGTAATCTGGAGGACTATATATGTCAGAAACACGAGAGACCTCTGGAGCTGTTCTGTAGAGATGATCAGACGTGTGTGTGTCCGATGTGTGCTTTGGAAGACCACAAGAACCACAACACTGTTCCTATAGAAGAGGAGAGTGAAGAGAAGAAGGTAGAAGTTCCTGACAAACTGATCATAAATGGCTCTTATCATGAGGATCACATGTTCTTTAATATATAAATGAATCAATTATGAAAACATATTATGTGTTGTTCTCTGTCTATAGACTCAACTGATGAAGACACAGAAAGACACACAGCAGGAGATCCAGGACAGAATCAAGAAGATTCAAGACGTCAAACACTCAGCAGAAGTCAGAAAAGTGAGTTTAAATTTGACTAGAAAACGAAGGTTCAGGAGGAGCCTAAACATCCAGTGCTGTCAATCATCATCATGAGCAGATTATATAAGCAGCAGACACGACATCACATTGACAAATTCAATCCTCCTCCTGAGGAATCATTCAGTGCAAACGCTGCAGAATGAGGGATTTTGAAAACACTGAAGTATGAGAAATAATAACAGTGATCAAACGTCCACTAATAATGTGTTGTTGATCAGAGAAACACCGAGAAGGAGAAAGCAGCCCGTGTGGAGCTCTTCACTGATCTCATCCGCTCCATTGAGAGATGTCAGACTGAACTGCTGGAGATGATGGAGGAGCAGCAGAAAGCAGCAGAGAAACAGGAGGAAGAGCTCATTGAAGAGCTGGAGCAGGAGATCACTGAGCTAAAGATGAGAAACACTGAGCTGGAGCAGCTCTCACACACTGAAGATCACCTCCACCTCCTACAGGTCAGTCAACATCTCTCTGATCAATGATAATGACACCAGAACACTCCCCATGCTGAAGGATTTCTCCTCTCTCTCCTGCTGTAGATTTACTCGTCCCTGTGCAGCTCCAGAAACACCAGGAACTGGTCTGAGATCAGTGTGAAGACTGATGAGAGTCTGGAGACTCTGAGGACAGCTCTGACTAAACTGCAGGACTCTCTACAGGAGAAACTCACACACACTGGTACAGCAATATCAAACACACCGTACAGATACATATATTTATCATCTTTATATATCAGTCATGAAGAATGAGTCTCAAGCTGAAATAAGAGAAGTGTGTGATCATTTACTGATCTCAGAAAACATGCAGTAAATTTATCTTGTACTCGAAGTTTCATCACTGAAACCAGAACCTCGAGGCTTTAGTACATCTGTGAACACTTTTACAACTTGTCTTTGCTGAATAACCACAACACTAATCCACTCCAAAACGGAGATGAATAACATTAGGCATAAAAATATCTGAATTAAAAATGTCATCAAATGTTTTACAAAACATTCCCAAAGATGTTGTAAAAAGCAGGAATATGGAGCTCAAACACAACAGGAGTTCAGAGATTCTCTAAATATCAGCAGAGAGACATTGATCAGATTAAACATGATCTTGTTCACAATTCTTTAAATATTTCCTTAAATCTTTTAGTTTTATAATTGCACTCATAAACATGTGAAAGATCTGCTGATGTTTTATTGTCATGTGTCTCTACAGAAGTGAAGTGGAGACAGCAGTATGCAGGTACAGTGTGTGTCTGACCTACACTAGATTACATTCAGATACTCACAGCTTCATCACTGACCGACAGTATGATTACACACTCATTACATATTACACACATCAGCACTAAAGTCTGTGATTCATATTGTCTGTTTTCTCAGTGGATGTGACTCTGGATCCTGATACAGCTCATCCTAATCTCATCCTGTCTGATGATGGAAAACAAGTGAGAGATGGAGACATTAAACAGAAACTCCCAGACACACCACAGAGATTTGATATATGTCCATGTGTCCTGGGAAAGGAGGGATTCTCCTCAGGGAGATTTTATTTTGAGGTGCAGGTGAAGGGAAAGACTGAATGGACTTTAGGAGTGGTCAGAGAATCCATTAACAGGAAGGGACAGATCCCACTGAGTCCCAGTTATGGATGCTGGACTGTGATTCTGAGGAATGGGAATGAATATAAAGCCTGTGCTGATTCTCTTGTCTCTCTGTGTGTGAGAGTGAAGCCGCAGCGGGTCGGTGTGTTTGTGGATTATGAGGAGGGTCTGGTCTCCTTTTATGATGTGGAGTCCATCTCTCATCTCTACTCTTTCACTCATCAGTCTTTCACTGGAAAACTCTATCCATATTTTAACCCGCGCAATAATGATAGAGGTAAAAACTCAACTCCACTGATCATCACACCTGTCAAACACAATCAATGAAATTACAGCCCTAATTTTGAAATACACAATAAATATTATTTACATAATTGAAAATCTTGTTTTGCCATTTTTTCATCATTTATTTTTCTTTGTTAAAATCTATAATTTTCAAATGATAATGCTTGTTTAACAAATTTATTTTCAATGTTTCATAATTATTCATGCCATTGTTTTCTCCCATCTCAACCTGACAAAGTAAAAGTGTCTGTAATAATTTTTTTTACATAAAGATAAACCAAACTATGAGGACATGATAAATTGTCAAAGCTGTTTCTACCATTTCTATTACAAAATGATCTGTGATAATACAGTAAAACAGATGGCAATACCTCAATATATGTATAATTGTATGATTACCATATTCATACACAACATTATGGATCTTCAAAGTATATCTAAAAACACCATGATATAAAAAATGTATTAAAAAAATAAAAAGAAGAAAACATCGTAGTCCCAGTATTACCAAAGTAACATCTCAAAATTTACTTTAATGAGAAATTCTCTGATTCTTTACATCATCGATCTGTTTATAAAGAAGTGAAAAATATATATTTAATACTTTAATGAGAGTCGCTTGATATTCACTTATTTTATTAAGTGTGATTGAGACACTTTTTGCCATTGAGATGAATTGGCGAAATGGAAGTGTCCCAATAAACCTGAACTCATCCTATTTATTTTTATTCATTTACTTTCACTAATCGAACACTGGTTAAACTTTTAATTGGGTAAGATTGTATCAATTGTATAGTTTTACACCTCTGAGCTGAAATCAAACTATCGAACTAATCTAACGCATCAAATTCTGAAAACATCATGACATATTTAGAAAGTTCAAACATCTCTTAACGAACAATTCTTCAGCTTGATAAACTGAACTATAAACATTAGGCACCAGTTTATTCCCATGCAAACATTGTCCAATCACTGCACAGATTAGATTCATGACGTGGACCTTACCAAAGCATAAAGAGTGTGTGTCCATGTTCTGTGTGTGTGTGTGAGAGAGAGACGGGGAAGGGAAAGTGTCACTGATGTCCTGCTCCTGCAGACAGACTCTGTCTGTCTGTCTGTCTGTCTCTCTCTCTCTCTCTCTCTCTCTCTCTCTCTCTCTCTCTCTCTCTCTCTGTGTGAGTGTGTATTATTGTGTGTTATTGTATGTGTGTGTGTGTGTGTTATTGTATGTGTGTTATTGTGTGTGTGTGCGTGTGTGTGTGTGTGTGGATGGATGAAACTCCCCCCCCCCCCATATACCCAAGTTTGGTATTGTTTTAAATGAAACACTCAGCAGATTATTGATGAAGGGAAAACACTTCAAAAAATGAAAGTATGAAAAAGTTAGGGAAGTTTAAATTTACAGTAAATCAAATATACTGTACTATATATTTTTTTATTTCATATAAAATATATATTTTACTAAATATTTTTAACTCTAAAATTTCTATAAAATCAAAGCCATGAATCTTATCAAGTTATGTTCCAAATGAGAAAGTTCCCATGAGATTTAGTTTAGGCGTAGTATCAAAAATCGCCACCGGGTGCCGTTGAATTCCATTGAATTTAGTTGTATACATTCTGCCTTAACAAATTAATACATTTCTGTCCAAATATCAATTCTGTCACAAAATGTGGAACCTTGAGACTCAAACCTTTCCGACTATCTGTTTTGTCAAGATTAGAAAAAGGTTTTGATCATAAATTATGAAATTCAATAATGCCCAAAAGGGGAGGAGCCTGATAAAATAAGTACCGTTTCTATGGTAACGCAACGTTCAATTATAAAACAGTTTTCACACGATGAATTCTGAGTTTATAAGCTTTCAAATGATACCTAATTTATGAAAACTACTAAAATATGTGATCAGTGGTGGAAAGAGTACTGAAAAAACATACTCAAGTAAAAGTACCATTACATTCCAAAAAATGTAGTGTGAGTAGAGTAAAAAGTACTTGTCCAAAAAACTACTTGAGTAAAAGTAAAAAAGTAGCTTATTTAAAAGTACTCAAGAGTAGTGAGTAGTGAGTACTGAGGTGCGGAATCTAACCCTTATAATAAACACTGTGCACTACAATTTATAAGTTTAAAAATGCACATACTGGAATTCACATTATACTTTGTTCTTTGTAAGAAAGATTGAAGAATATCTATCATCCATCTTTTTAAAATGCTTCAAATCAGTACACTCATCACCATTTAAATTATTTGGGGGAAAAGCATTTAAAATTAGGCGAAAAGCCACTGGGCCTGAGCATGTTATTGTTGCACATAAAATATCAATATTCATAACTGTGCAAGAGATGGGTTGAATAAAATAAAAAAAATACCCAATTTCTCTCCAAAACGGTACCAATGTTAGTGTTTTAATAAATAAGAATCACTAATATTATCATACTACCTCAACTAATGCACTGAAAAAGGCTAAGATAGTGAGCTAACACTAATTACACACTTTAATTCCATGCTATGTTACAATTTAAACGTAAATGCATTGTTCTAGAAGGGTGGCATCATCCCTTACATTTTACACAGCTACATTTACTCACATTGTAATGCTGATAATATAATTTGAAAGGACAATTGTGCATTAAATAGGGAAGTTATATCCAGGAAACTTTTACAAAAGAAACAAACACACTTTGTCTCTGAAGTCTCGGCGAAGCCGTTTTATCAGCAGCATCCACACAAAAAAAAGTTCAGCATGGAAAATGTTTTTGCGCAAGTGCACTTGCCAAATGAAGACGGATCGCATAATGGATCAATCAAAAAATGCTGTTTATTAACGAGCTGTGCTAATTTCCTATATGCATTTCAAGTTAACGACGACATGGTGCACTGATTCTGAATCTGGCGGCATGGCGAGCGCGAGACGCGGCAGATCGTGACGCGCGTCTCTCCTGTGATTGTGAAGTAAATGGGAGCGGGAATTCACCGCATTACGAACTCGTCTCGCAATTCCCCCAACCTCAGACCAAATGTTAGGCCATGTAGACAGGCCAGCAAATATAAATATCATATTAAGCAGAAAGTGAAATGTACCTTAGCATATTAGAGGAAGACGCTGATATCTGGATCGAATTGATGGGTGATGAATGCACTTCCACAGCAGTCACGAGTAACAGCAGGAATAGGCGGTAAGTTTTCTATGCTTAATTTGAATTGATGACAGTCACGAGACCGATTACTCGATCCAATCACGTTGATGGATAAAAATCAAATTAAAACAAGCATGTAACGAGTAACGGCCACAAACAAAAGGAAAATAGCGGAGAAAAAGTACCGATACATCACTTAAAATGTACTCAAGTAAAAGTAAAATTACACAATTTTAAACTTACTCAAAAAAGTACAATTTCTGAAAAAAACTACTTAATTACAGTAACGTGAGTATTTGTAATTCGTTACTTTACACCCCTGTATGTGATATAATAAAAAAGGCGATAAAAAAATAATATTATATTTTAGAGGATAATAAATATAAATATTATAATTTTTAGAGGATAATATTATACTATAATTTTTTATTTTTTATTGAAAAATACTAGATTATATGTTTTATTGTGAACTTTTAGCATAAAAACAGAAGTTTCAATGATTAAAAGTGGGTTCATCAACTTTTTGTGACAAAGGTCAAAACTCTTGTTATGATCCAGATTTTTTGAGGTGCACTCTTGTCATAAATTCATCATTACTCTTCCTACATAATTTGTAACACAAAACAGGGGTAGAATATCTATTTAGAAGTCTTAGACCTTTCCAACGATATATAATTTGTCATAATTAGATTAGGATTTAATAGAAATATAGTGAAGTAAAGTTAGGCGTCCCGGTACCGGGACAGTAAAGGGGTTAAACATTTTTGCTCAATACTTAAAATGTTCATTGCTGTTTTCATACTAAAAACATGCTCCGTTACCCCTTGTCTGAACTAGTGATTAAAAAAGGCCAGAAGCATTATTATTAAACATAAATAAAGCTGGATTATGCAAACAAGAGAGCGAGCAAAATTCACAAAATAGAAAAAAATAATTACAATAATTAATTCAAGACAGCATGTAATGTTACATAAATCTTTTATTGACATTTGCCTTTAAACATTATTGTAAAAATGCAGGTTATAGAAAAGACGTGTGTGGTTTCTAGCAACAGACTGTAAATATATTGCTTTGAATCTCTGTGTTTTTTTAACATTAAGTCTTATATTCAGAGCATATCTATATTTACATTTGCAGATTACAACAACACCCCATAAATGTCCATAATCTCAGTGGCTTTCTGTCCTGCTTTTGGCAACGGCAGGTCAGTCCAGTCTCGGCACAATCCACAAGCTTTAGGAGAACAGCAAACCTCAAAATAACTCATTTACCGAGAGAATCTCACAAAAACTGTCATAAGTGACGAGTTAAGACTTTATCTGAAGATCTAGTCTGACCAAATAGCAATTAGTTCGTTACTAGTCCAATCTACTTTCTTATGTTATTAAAGTTATGACCAGACGTGGGTAAAAAATTAGATGATTAACTTGTGGGTTATATTTCAAACCCCAATAATAAATTTATATATATATATATATATATATATATAAAATTTGTATTTTTTATTATATATATATATATATATATATAAAATTACTTTTTTATATATTATTTATATATACTTTGTTAAATATATATATTATTAAAAAAAACTGAATAAATACACTGTAAAAAAAATTATCCTGTAAAATAACAGTAAACTACTGGTAAAAATAAAATAAAATACGGAGCGTTACTGTTTTTTAAATTAACAGCTAAATACCATTTTGTCTGCTATATACTGTTAAATTACAGTTTCATACTGTATCTGACAAAACGGTATTTAGTTGTTCATTTCAAAAACAGTAACACACCGTATTTTTACGGTATGACGCTGGCAACCACAGTAGTTTACAGTTTTTCTACAGGATTATTTTACAGTGTATGATTAATACTATTTTATAATCACATAAATAAAATTAAATAGGTTTTAAGTACCTAATTAAACATTTTCCTCGCACAGTGACATTATTTTCATTACAATTAAACACCCGATGCAGTTCGCTTACTGCAAATAATAAAAATAATAACTAAAACGTATTTCAATTTTGAAGCACACATCATGGTAGTATTTGTTGTACTGAATTTAATTGGATAAAATAAATTTAAACAATAAATAAAATTAATGATGTGAATTAATCTTATGTTTTACTCCTCGGGCTGAAATGCGAGACCCAAGACATTTTTTGTGAGATTCACCGAATCATCGGACAGCCAATGTTTATCATCGTCTCTGTTCTGCTGGAAACATCCCTTCAAACACAGAAGAACACGAGTGCTATAGAGATATATATGAACAACAGCTCTGTGTGGT